CATTATCAATAAGAAATGAAATTTTGAAAATTTTAATTATTTGAAAAAAAATATATATATATTAATTGATGGTTATTCGTTTAATGATAATAATAATAATAATTCGTGCGAATCACTTTGGAAAAAATTCAATTTAATAACGTAAAAAAAAAAAAAAAGTTAAATTTATTTGATGTTACGTAACGAGGATGAAATTATAGTTTTGTATATATATATATATTCTTTTCATTAACGTCGACACTTATTTCTTATTGTTTCACTCACGAAAAAAGAGTTAAAAGAGTAGCTTCATACGTGCAATAAGTGCGATGTTAATAACATTTTATTAATTATTGCTTCACCATTGAATCCGCCATTTAATCATTACATTGTCGATATTTATAAAAAATTTATTTTTTATTTTGCCTTTTTGTCATCGACCTTGTTCATGTGTCACAAACTTGTCACGAACTCATTTAAAACTTTTTGGCCTATATATATATATATATATATATATATATTATTATTATTATTATTATTATTATTATTATTATTATTCGAAATTAATTATAAAAAAAAAATCGGTATTTTATATACATATTGTGTTGAAACAAAAGTAATGAGAAAAAGAATCGACTTTGTTTTTAAAAAAAAAAAAAAAATGGCGGATGGCGGTTTAAAAACCTGGCAAAAGAATTTTTTTTTTTAAAAATAAAAAAAAATTTAAATTTATGCAAATGACATAGAAAATTTTTCTTTTTTTTTCTTTTTTTTTGTCGAAAACTTGTTTATAACGAATGTTCTAGATTGATGATGGCGACAAAACGAGACGCCAATAAATAATATCGATTCCATACATTTTTCTTGTATTGTTTATATTGTGGGATAATAAACTATGTTTTTCGGAGCCGAATAGTCGAAGAATTTTCAAAAAAAAAAATTAATATTTTAAAAATATTTTTCTAGGTTTTACCGTGACATTAATAAATAATAATAATAATAATAATAATAATATTAATAAATATTTCACTATTTTTTTTTTTTTAAATTCTTGATTTTGTTTTTTTTTTTTTTTCAATTAATTTCAAGTACAAATAACTGTTTCACAAGGGGGGAGGGAAAAATGATGATATTGCTTAATATTATTTAAATTTTTATAAAAATAATAATAATTATTCATGTGGCATTTTCACTGAGCTTAATTAAGCATATTTACTTTTCTTTTTATATTTGAAAAAGTCGAGATAATTTCATCTGGATTTAAAATTATATTAAAAAAAAAAAATCTTTTTATTTGCTAAAGAAATTATTGTTATTATTATTATTATTATTATTATTATTATTATTATTATTATTATTATTGTTATTGTTGTTGTTGTTGTTGTTGTTTTATTATTTTTACGACAACCTAATTCAAAGTTGCCCTAAATTATTATTACTTTTTGTAAAAAAAAAAAAAAAAGAGTAAGTAATAAACCACGGATCATTAAATATAATTTTAATGCGTGGTTTTAAGGTGTTTATAACCTAATGACACGTGGGAGTTATTATTGAAACCTAGAATATCGTGGTAGTAACGAGTCAATTTGAGGAAGTTAAATTTTTAAATAATTATTTTGTTATGAGGAGGAAGTAAAGAATGGAAAAGAAAAAAAATATTAATTACAATAATTAACTTTGAATAACAATTTTCATGCGCGAAAAATAAAAAAAAATTAATATTTCCTTTTGTTTGTTTAATTTTTTATGATAATTTTCTTTAAATAATAATAATAATAATCGCGTTGATAATTTCTGTCGCTTTTCTTTCTTGTCTTAAATTTACCTGAGGTTCATTACGAAAAAAAAATTTTTTTCTTTGTTTTTTTTTTAAAACTTTATTAATAAATAAGAAAAAAATGACAAAGGTTATTATTGCTTACGAATAAAAATTATTACCATAGTTTTTTTTGTAGTCGAATAATAATAATAATAATGATAATACAATCGGAATATAAAAAAAAAACGTGTTGCGAACGAAATAATAATAATAATAATAGAAAACTTTTTTACAAAAGGATAGTCGTGTGCGCGTGAGGATTGCTTATTTAGCAGAATGATGCGGTCAGTTTGTTTGGTTTATTTTATTTACCTTGACCAGCGAAGGCCATGATCTCATTTAGCCTGCGAATACTCTTAATCCCAAGGCCGCATTTACATATAACAAGCACTTTAAACAAAAATTCCAGGATGAATCTTTTTCTTCTTACTTAATAAATTATTAGACGTGATATTTCCACCTGAACAACAACAACAACAACAACAAAAAATATTCATTTAATTGACCGATGTATGGATGAGATGCTCTTTTAAAAAAAAAATTTTTTTTATCTGTTTAAATGGGAAACATTTTAATTTTTAATGTATGATTGACATTCTTCTTCCACTTCTTCTTCTTCTTCTTCAAAAAAAAAAGTTTCAAAACAAACGTGAATTTGATGAATATCGACATTTTTATTAAACTTGAATTAAAATTATGTAAAAAAAAAAAAGAAAAAAATTTTTATTTTTAAAGATCATCTACTTAATTTGACATGAATTTAACATTAGATCAACCTTCGTTTATTTAAAAAAAAAAAAAAATTATTTCAAGGAAAATAACAAATTGATTGGGTATTTCCTTTTTTGATAAATGGAGAAATTTATTATTATTATTATTATTATTATTATTTAATAAAATCAATCGCGATCGGGTTTGACCATAATAATAAATATAATGAATAATTTTGTAAATTCTGTAAATTTTTTTTTAAATGCATCGATTACAAAATATTATATATTAAACGTGACTTGTATAAATGTTTTTCTCTCTCTCTCTCTCAAATGCACAGTACTCGAATAAAATAAAAAGGTTGCAAATCTCGAAAGTATTTCAAGATTTTAAAACAAGGTTATATAAAAAAAAACGACAGCCAGAGGGATATAAGTTCATCTTCTTAAATAAAATTAAGCAATTTCGTTTTTTTTGTTTAAAATTCAAAGTCGATGATGATGATGATGGTGATTTTTTTTTTTATTATTTAAATAGGATTTAACGTTATTTTAATACTTTATTAAAGTATGTTATTTTATTATTATTATTATTATAGAGCATTTTTATTTAATAGAATATATATATATATATGTGCATTGTGAAAGTATTGCACGGATTTTATTGTTGCTCAATACACTCAACCTAATGATGAGAATTTTCTTTTTTTTTTTTTTTTTTTTTTATTAAATTTTGTAATAATTTGATGCGAACAATAATTTAAAAACTTTTAAATAATTTGATTCGGCCCAAATAAAACAAAATATTGTAAAAAAAAAAAAAAATAATAATAATATTATTTCTGTTTGTTGTTGTTGTTTTCAATTGATTCGTGTTATTTTTCACAACAAAAATAATTAATTTTTTTTTTTTAAAAACTACATTTTATTTTTTTAAATTGATTTTTTGATTTTATGATTCTCAAAAGAAAAAAAAAATCCAATCAATACGCTTCCTGTTTAATTGCAAACAGGTTTAATTAGGTACAAATAATGTAACTAGAGCAATTTCAGGTTTTACTTATTGCCTCGAAACGCATTTTTGCGAGTTAAGTAAGATATGAAAAAAATCGTTTTGTTATTTTTCCAAAAAAATTAAAAAATAAATAAGAGAAAAAATATATAAAAAGTGAACTTTGAACCATGTTAACATTTAACTGAGGTCTATCTGTGTAAAAAAAAAAGAAAAAAATTACGATTCTTTCGAGTAATGCCGTGTAATTGTTTTTTAATTTCTATACAATAAAAAAATTTTTTTTTAGTACTTGCGCTTTTTTTTTGTTGCGAATATTTCGTTTTGATATTTTATTAATCTTAACGCTAATCGCGGAACAATGAAAAAAAAAAAAAAAACGTAAATTGACACAGACAAAAAAAAAAAAAAAAATTTTTTTCAAGGTTTTCACGATTGGGAAATCCCTCGTGTTGGTGGTTCGGTCAACGTTATTGGATGTTAAATGTTTATTAAAAATCCCGTCTGCCACACAAAGGAAGTTGTGTCTGATGCGATCATGTCTAAAATAAACGCGATACTGTGTCGTGTAACAAAAAAAAAAAATAAAATAAATAAACCAGGAAAATTATGGGATCAAACACGAACATTTTAAAGTGTTGAGAAGTTTTATAAAAAAGGTCAAGGCCATCGTTAATTAAGGCATCCTTTATTATTATTATTGTCTATATAATTATCATTAACATCATCACTATCATCATCGACAGAATAATATAGGTACTCGATGTACCTGCTCTGATATAAATGGTAAAATTTTAGGTATTCGCTCTCTTCTTCTCTTTTATTAATTTTTTTTTTTTTTTTTTGAATTTTATTTATAAGTCCTTGAAATTAGGTACTCGATAACTAAGGTTAAAAAAAAAAAAAAAATTTGAGTATTTTGTACCAATACCTAAAAAATATTTAATTCGTTCTTATGAATTTTATTATTCATGCCATTCCTCACGATTATATTTCTTGACTAAAATTCTATAAATAATTTTTTTTTTAAATTTTTTTTAAAAGTAATCAAAGCGTAGTTTTTTTTTTTTTTTCTCGTACCTGACGTTATCATTATTATTTTAATAATTTTTTTAAAAAAAAGTTGTTTTCCGCTAGCGATCCTAGTAAAATTAATTAATAAAACTTGTAACTGCAAAAAAAAAAAAAAAACTTGAAAATGAAAATATTCAAATGTGATCAAATAGGCGCCGTTTTTAATTTAATCAAAAAAAAAAAAAAAAAAAAAAGAAAATTAAATATTAATAGGTTTTTTTTTATAATTGCAAAAAAAATTTTACATCTAATATAAAAAATTTATTTATTTATTTATTTAAATAATTTATAATTTAATAAATATTTATAATTACTCGGGTTTATATATATTTAACATGGTAAATTGTTTTGTTTTTGCAGAATTTTAATAATTTGTCACTAGTATTTGGATAAATGACTACACTTTTCAACTTTTGTCTCTTTTTTTCTTTTTTGTACTTTTATGCTTGTGAGATTTATCCCTATAAGAATCTTTTTCTTTTGATTTTTTCTTACTCTTTTTATGTTTGTGTGATACTCCTTTTTGTCTCTTCGGAGAAGATTCTGGACTCTCTGACCACCTCCAATTTCTTTTATAATTATTATTATCGAAAGTGTCATCAAGTTTGTCACTTAGAGAATGACCATAATTAGATTTATGTTTATACCAATCTATTGGATATTCGTTTTTCGGATTTCTAAATACATGAAGAAAATTACAAGATTTTCCTTTGAGACATCTGCGCCTGGCAAAATCTCCACAAACAGCACCTCCCCAATCTTTTATTTTAACAAACTCTATATTTAGTTGCTTACCACCATACCACCTGCCTTGAAATTCTTTATATGCCAAAAGTGCATCTTTTTTATGCTTATATTCTATATATACATTGCCCCTTAAATGCGGCTCAGAGTTACAACAAACTTTAACCATTGTCAAGTCACCAAATTTTTTAAATTCAGGTACAATATCAGTGTAAAATTCTTTGAAATGTGAATACATATCTGAATCTTCATATTCTAAAATTATGTCTGTGTCATATTCCGAAGATTTATTTTGCTCTAATGTAAAATGAGAATAAAAGTTTGATACCAACAGTGTGTTACTAATTTTAAAATGCTGATGATTTCTAGAACATTGATTACCAAAACGACAAGCACCGACTTTATTGAAGAACAAACACATTTCCTTTCCAGGATTCGTTTCGCTAACAGCCTGCAATTCCAAAGGTATATCACCACCATTTTGAATGAAATCATTTATTCTATTTAATGTTTCTTGTCGTCTTTTTTCTTCTTCTTTTTTCAATGCTTCTAATTTTTCTTTTTCTTCTTTTATTTTTTTCTGTTCTTTTTCCCATTCTTCCCTTATTTTTTCCTGCTCTTTCAGTCTTTCCAATTCAGCTAAATTTTTAAGTCTCTGTTCTTCTCTCCATTGTTTTTGAGCTCTCTCTTCTTCTTTTAACCATTTCTCATGTGCTTCCTCTCTTTCTTTGGTTTCTTTTTCTGCTTCGTATTCTTCGAAGAGACGTTGTTTTTCTAATTGTAACTGATAAGAAGGAGAACTTTCTAGCAATTTTAATTCAGCTTTTCTAAGTTCGGCTAAATGTTGTCGTATTTTTTTTCTACGTAGTTTCTTGGCTATTTTTCTCCACTCTTTATGAGATAACTTACAAACCGTATTTGTCATTTAGCAATTATATTTTCATTAAATAAAAATAAAAACACATTAAAACTGATAAGTCCATGGCTCGTAATGTAAACAATCCAAGTGTTGCCAACTGTAAAACTTCAATGAGTTAAAGGCGGGAAATTGAAGATACCAAATTGTAATTTTTGTTCTTTTTTCTAAGTGAACCTTATCATCTAAATTACAATTTTGAGGGAAAAAGTAAGTAAAAATTTTTGTTTCTAGCTCAAATATTACATTTATTTCAATGAAAGTTCTTTATCAGGTTTTAAAATGTTATAAATAGATAAGTAACCCTAAAAACAATCATGATATTATAAACCTTTGTTTGTACCTATAATTTTCAACTTGTTTCATACAACACCATAATAATTTCATTAAAAATTATTTAATGTGACAAAAAATAATAATAATATCTGTAAATGTAAAAGTTTAATAATAAAATTAAAACATTTTTGCATTTTCAATCATCAAACAAAAATAAAATAAAATAAATAATAATTTTCAACAAGTTCTTTACATGGGGAGATACAAAAACTTACAAAAATTTTATAAAATAATTTTTGGTAATACATAAAATAAATTTTTTTTTTTTTTATTAATTAATTTAAATAATTTAAAATTGTAAGGAATAAAATTTGAATACGGCAACAAATGAATAATTTTGTTTATTTTAAATTGGTTTTTATGCCGTTTAATATATATATATATATATTTTTTTCAAAAATTTAATTAGCTGTGATTGTGTATGTAAAAAGTTATGAATTTTTCTTCATTTCTTTTTTTAAACTTTTTTGTGTTGATTTTAAATCGATAATTTATACAATTACGACAATTAATTTGTCGTTATTTAGTGCAAATACCTTATTAGGTATTTTCCAATCGTATACAGCAGCTTAAATACATTTAAAGTATAATTTAGTTTTTCATATTTGTATTGTTGTGAAAATGAAGGAAGTGAAAAGTTTAGAATCGTAGTAGGGGAGGACATTATTTAAAAAAAAGTTTACAGAACAAAAAAGTAAATAAATTGACGTTAAAATGAATATTGAAATGACTTCGATTAACGATTACGTGTACACGCAAAAAAAAAAATTAAATTCTCAATATTCGTCTTATAACAATATCGATAACAGTGATGAGTATCAATGTAATATCCCAGAATCGTATAAAAGAATAACGAATTGTCATCAATTTACAAATCAATTGTGTTATAAAATGAAAATGGAATTCGGACACGAATTGCAAAATCCTCACAAACCCCCCAGAATGGATTTTGATTGGCCTGCAACCGATCAATTTACAAAAGTCGATTGTTTGAGAGCATTTAACATAATGAAACAAACGGTTTATAAAGAATTATCGAAATGCGAGGAAATTACAATGCATGATCCCTTAGGATTAAGAAAAAAATATTATTACGAACGTAGGCTTCATTCACTCGAAAGGGAAAAAATAAGGAGATTAAAAATATACGAAAGTATGTATTTACAAGAAGAAATTAAAAATGGTTTGACTAGTTAAAAATGGGTTTTAGAAAGCTTTTTTTTTAATTTTCAATTAATTGACTTATTACCCTCCCCCCCCATCCCCTTCCCTTTTTTTAGTTTAATTAATTTTTCTTTATTAATTTAAATTATTTGACGCATTAAAAAAAAAAAATTGTAGTTATTTATATTATGAAATAAATATATAAATGTGTGTGTGTATAAAAATAAAAATGGTATAAATTACCATAATAAAAAAGGCAAAAAAAGAAAAAAAATTCCATCGTTAATTTATATATGGAAATACGGCAAAATAATAATAATAATATTATTGGTTTTTATAAAAGATAAAAATTTATGATTAAGGTACTTAACAAATCAATAAAATGAATTTTTTTTTAATATAAACAATAATTTTCTTTATTTTTTTAATATAAATATTTACAAAAACAGTATTTAATAATAATAATAATAATAATAAGTGTTAACACTATACAAAATTAAAGCTTCTTGCTTTGGCAACAATTGTTATAAAAAAAAAAATTTATAAATTTTCGCACTTATTTAATTTATTCCACATAATAAGGCCAATAAAATGGCAAAACTCCAAAAGTACCATCTTCTCTATATCCCACGGGTTGTGAATATCCGCATGGCATTGGCAAAATTTGTTGGCACATGATGGTATTAAAATAAATTACCTGAGTTGTCGGTTGTTGTTGTAGGAAAATTTTTTGTTCGTTCTTTTCCTTATCCATGGATGATTTTAAACGTAATCTGCTATCCGAACGTAAACCGTTTTTCCATATTTTATAAAAAAAATCATTTACCGAATCCGAATTGTTTAAAACTGTGTCTTCGATTTCAGCTATTGGAGTTGACGTTCTAAATGACATTTCCTGTGAAAAAAAAAAAAATTTAAAAAATTTTATTTTACTTCCGTGCAACGAATATATGCCAAAAAAATAGAAGAATTTAATGTATTTAATTACTTCACTAGAATAATAATTATTGCTGTTGTATCCGGTAGCCAATCGTAAAAATGTATTTCCTTTTTTTGCACTGTAAAATTTTGTATTGCATAATGGACAAACTTTAGAATGCATTTTTTTTTTTTTAACACAAAATTTTAATGTTGCTCGTTCAAAATTTTTTATTAAACTGTCCTGTTTTTTTTCCTTTTCTTTTTTTTGTTGGTGTAAATAAAAATTTAAACAAAATTTTTTTAAAATAAAAAATTTATGAGTCATCATTTTAAAAGGGGCTGTTATGTAGGTACAGGTAAATTTTTATTCTTATGTATTATGTAATAAAAAAAAATTTTTTCAATTTTCTATAATTTAAGGGTAATGCCCCCAGGTATTATTAAAAATACAATCCTTATTTTTTTTTATTATTTAAAAAAATTGTTTTGAAATATGTAAAAAAAAAAAAAAAATAATAATAATTTTACAATGTAAATCAAAATCAATTAATATCATTTATTTGCTATAAGTTTTATGTTGAAATGTTATACAAAAGTTTAAATTGGGATTTATGCGTTGAATAATTAATAAAATTTTATTTATAAATAAAATTTTATTAAAATCTTAAATAATTAATATAAACTGATAATAAAATATCTATGGTTGACAAGGAAGTTCATTAAAATTTTATTTATTTTCCCAAAGTTGCCTGCACTGTAAATGCACTGTTTACAAACATAATTTGAACATTTTTTTTTTTTTAATGACGGACAAAAGGTTTTTTTTAAATAATTTTTATCAGTTTATTTATTATAAGACGATAATAATAATAATAATAATAATAATAATGAAAGGGCAAAAAATAAATTTGAAATGGAAAAGTTTTCATTCAAATATTTTGTCAAGTTTTGAAAACATGTTGGAAGAGGAGGGTTTCGTTGATGTCACTTTAGCTGCTGACGGGAAATGTTTAAAAGCTCACAAGATAATGCTGTCTGCTTGCAGTCCTTTTTTTAAAAAAATTTTTCAAATGAATCCTTGTCAGCATCCGGTTATTGTATTACAAGATGTTCACTTTTCGGCGTTAGAATCTATTTTAAAATTTATTTATAAGGGTGAAGTGTGTATTTTGCAAGAAAATTTGCCGTTGCTTTTACGCGCCGCGGAAACGTTACAAATTCGCGGTTTGTGTAAGCAGTTAAAAGATGAGGTAAGTAAGTATTTATTACGCTTATCTTAGGAATATCTTTTTTACATTTAAAAATTAGTTTCTTGTTAAAATAATTTTTTAAAATTTATTACATGTCACCATTTTCCATTAAAAACATTTTTTTTAGGAATCCAATTCACAAATTTTTAATGGGGATAAAGAGTTGAATGAAAAGTCAGGCATTATAAATTCTCCACAATCCAGTTCTAAAATATCTAAAAAAGTAAAAAATCAGGGTGTCAAATCAGGAGTTGTGCCATGTTTTTTTTCTCAAAGTAGTATAAAAAGTCCAGAAGATTCCACCACAGATTGTGAAAAGGTAAAACTTGAACCTAGGTCAGAATCTCCTGCAGTATTAGATGATAATTATGTTTATTCATTAGGGCTGACAAACAACTCGCAAATCGAGAGAATCGAAGCTGACGATGAGAATGGTAAGTGATAAAAATGATGTTTTTAATGATATATTTCATTAAGTTAAGTCTTGGATCAGTGTAATCAATAAGAAAAAAATAGTAAAGAATAAAAAAATTTTTTCAGATTTAACTTTGAATACAAATATGTGTGCATTTGATCTGGGCCAAGGTAAATAAAATTTTTTTTATGTTAATTAATGACATTTAAAGTAACTCTTACATTAGTAATTATAAAATATCAAATACATGGGGAAAATATGAAGACAATTTATTAAAACAATATTCATTTATTTAATTATGATTGCGTTTTCAACAAATATTATTATTTTAATTTAAACACATTTTGATTTGTTTAGGATCGACAAATTATCCATTCTCACCTTTTCCATGTCCATTTTGTGATAGAGCATATTCAAGATGGGGTTTTAGAAGGCGTCACATAAAAGCATGCCACACAAGATCAAAAAGTTTACCTTGCAAATGGTGTTTAAAGGTTTGCACGTCCTATTTTTATGATTTTTTTTTTTTTTTTTTCCTTAGGTTTTTTGGTTTAAGGTCGATAATTAAATTATAATTATTACAATTATTTTTTTGCTAGGTTCTCCCCACGCATAGAGAATGGGAATCTCACGTATGCTGTAAGCACAGGCTATCGAGAAACGATGCAAAAAACGGTTTATTAATTTTAGAAGAAGCCAAAGTTGTTTTACAAATTCCTGAGCCGAGTAGACTTGATGAATTGGTTTCGATGATCAAAAACCAAAACAGGGCAATGGATGAAATATCAAAAATGGACGAGGATAATGATGAAAATAAGGTTGAAATCAGTGAGGAGGAAGTGAATCAAAAATGGTAAGTCACATAAACATAATTCTCTTATCGATAAAAGAAATATTCTGATTCGGCATCTTCTTATGTGTGAGATTTCCTCGTTTTCATTTATCAAAAAAAATTTTAATTATTATTATCGTGATCGATAAAATTAGGAATTCAATGTTTAGGTCATCTCGCCAGTTTTTTTTTTTTTTTATAGTAATCGATTAAAAATCGATTTATTTAGATCCGGACATGGGGAAAAAAAAAAAAAAAACCTTGCAGAAAATGTTGATTAATTTTATTAACTATATATAGGCTTAATGAGTAATTAATATATTTATATATATTGTGTGTGATAAAAATGACGAGTAACGATGTGTGATGATGGCTTTAAAGTAATAAATATTGAACGTGTAGAATAATAGATTCATTTTATTAGTTTTAATCATGTCTTTGAAATTTTCTGCAATTCACCATTATATATTTTGTCCCCCTCCCCCCCACATTTACAATATTGATTTTTTATGTTGAAGGTCTTTCGATGTGATTGCAGGAGTAATGGATAGATAGATAGATGGATACTAAAAAAATTTTTTTGTTTTTTTTTTTTTTTCTCGGCTTCATTCTTCAATGAATTTGATCGAATGCAAATACTTGATCTTGATATTTTCGAATTTGTTGACAAAGTTTTTTTCTAGCCATGTATCTTCTCATCATTGATTGAACTTTAATTATTTTTTTCAATTCCGCTTCGTAAAGTCTTTTGGCGGGAAAAAAAAAAGAAGATTGTCTTAGTTGATTGCAGATAAATTTAATTTTTTTTTTTTTTAAATGAGAAAAATGGGTTCGTTTATAATTACCTGGTTAAATATTCAGTGTTGTAATATTTTAAAAAAACTTTATTTTTACCCATCGTCCAACCTTCGAGTTTTAATCGTAATAGAAGGAGCCTGCAGTTATCTTTTGTCTCGTCCAAACTTTCATTGCAATCAAACGTTAGGAATTTATACCTGAAAAAGTCAAGTTCGATTATGAGTGAAATAGGAATGACGTCGTTGGATATTGTCGATTATTGATTGATTGATTGATTGATTGACCTTCTGAAAAATTCGTCGTATTGAATGTTATGTGTATATCCCTGTTGAATGTTTAAGGTCGTGTTGACGATGTCCAAAGCTCTCATTTGCCGTAGGATTAATTGAACGTCGAAATCGTCTTCTTCGTCTCCCTGGTAATTAGTTCTGATGCATCGAACGAAATGAAAACCAGATTTTTCGATCGATAAATTTTGCATTAAATTCCAACAATTGTTTCTGAAACTCGACGCGGCGGATAATTTTTTTTTCGTGCAGTAATTTTTACAGGTAGCGTCGGAGGTATCCGCGAGTTCTTCGGAACATTCACTCGTCAAAGTGTTTTCCGGTTGAAAGAAAATGGATGAAAATAATTCTTTGACGACACGATCCGTTGACGATTTCATCAATTTCATAAATTCCGTCGAACAGGAGTCTTTGTTTTGTTCTATCATTTTCGTATTGTCGTAAACGACTTTTCCGGCGTAGTGTTCTATAGAAAATTCTGTCGGGCTTTCGATTTGAATTTTTTTATCATTCGTCGTCTCGATGTCATCCAAAACATCTAATTAATTTTTAAAAATTTTTTATAAAGTTATTTTATTTGTTACTGTGGTGATTTTCAAAAAAAAAAAAAAAAGGTACCGTTTGAAAATGTATCCGTTCCGGTTTTGACGAAATTGTCAAGTTTGGCCAATAATCCGTTGGTTTTAGAAAAAATTCTGTCCAAAACGCATTTGTTGTCGTTGAATTCAATATCTGGTACACCGATTTCTTCTTCGTCTGCTATGGCCTATAATTTTATAATGTGGGAGTGCGTGTGAGTAGTTTTTTTTTTTTTTTTAAATTAAAGGTCGAAAGGAAAACATGACACTTACTTTTCCTCTTACGAATATTTTTTGAATATAATGATTTTGTAATTGTTCATTGAGTGAATTCACAAAAAGTTGTCCAATTTCATTTTTATTAGAATTTTCAAAACCGAAAAAATCCAGCAAACTAATGACGTGCTTGTCGCCGCTAAAACAAAAAGGAAATAGTTTAACAAGAAGAAAAAAAGGAGAGATAATAATAAATTTATATCATTTAGAATACGTACTAAATGATGCGGGAAACGGATAATTTTTTGTTTACGTTTTTCACTATCCAATGTACCAATCTATTATAAATTTCTTTTGAAAAATCGCACAGGATTTCAATAGATTCTTGATCGTTTTTTCCTTCAGAATCGAAATTTTCGTACAAAGATTTGATAAATTTTTTTTCATCGAGTTTCATAAGGTTGGCAACTATTGCGCATACGAAAAAAAAATGTCGTTAATCGTTTGTTGGACTCTAAAATTGCACTAGACCGGAAGTAACAAAATTTGTTTTTTTTTTTTACCTTGCTGTATGAGATTATCGGGTAATGAAATTTTTTTCCCTTCTCCTTTTGTGGAAAATTTCAATTGTCTCAATAATAAAATAGCAATCAATACATTTCTCACGGATGAAATTTGTTCGTCTTCAAAATCCAATTCTTTTAAATTATCTTCGAAATCGTCGTAGAATTTTTTTTTTTGATATTTATCATCAGTATTTTTTAAATTCGGTTCGGATTCGATATTTTCCGATTCGTTTTCATCGACGAAATAATTTTTAAATTGATGGTGATTTTTTATTTTTTCATATAAGTAATAAAAAATATGAAAATTTGATTTGCTGTAAATAAATCAATTTCGTTCGCGTCATTAACAAAAAGTAATAATGATGATGATTTTATTTTCACACTCGCTCACCCGTCGTCGATTTCCATAATTCTATTTTTTTCCAGTTGGTCTAATTGAAAAATGGCTCCGCTAACTTTTCCAGTATCCGTAAACGTTACGTGAACGTGTAAAACATGCCTCGTTGAATTTTTATTATTTGGAGTCGATGCGTTTCCAATCGCATGTATAACATCGAGAGCTTTTTTTATTTTTTGTGCACATTTGAATCCCTGGAAAAATTTAATTGTTAATATTTTTTTTTTTTTTTTTAACGATGCATGCATTTTATTATTATTATTATTATATACAAACTTCTCCCAAATACAACAAATGATCTAAAGCATGCATCATATTTATTGTTTTTCCAGATCCAGTTTCACCGGCGAAAAGAATGTGTTGAGGTTTTTCGTGGTGGAAAACGTTTCTATAAGCGCTTTCGGTCACGGAGTAAATGTGTGGAGCATTTTGTGATTTCGCTTTGAATCGGTATTTGTGATGATACTGTGGGGAAAACGTTAAAAAGAGTGAGGTAACAAGTTACCTAACGCCGAAAAAAAAATAAAAAAGCGCAATTTCTTCAGGCTCACTTGACTTCCGTACAAATTAGCACATTTGTTCGGGTTTAAAAAAAGCAAAATGTCGCCGATGAAAGTGTAGTAATCATTTTTTTTATATCTTTCGTAAAGCTCCGACAAAATGGCCTCTTCGGACACTTCGACGAGCGTCGCCAAATCTTCTTGCAATATTTTTTCGAGCGAGGATTGCCTTTCCGTTTTCATAAAACCGTTCCATATTTGAATTTCGGGTTGTTTGTATAGGAAAACGTTTTTTAAATTGCTTATAACTTTTCCGATTTCCGCCGGCGTCTGTGAGCAAAAAAAAAAAGGAATTTATGCGATTCAGAAAGCAGACGAAACAATCAAAAAAAAAAAAAGCCTCACATTTTCATCTGCGAATCCCGATTGGAAAAACGTGTGTTCGAGCAATTCTTGAACGTACGGACGATTTTCCGGGTCTTTAACGAGACACCTGAAATTATAATGATGAGGAATTTAATGGTTGATTATTATTATTATTATTATTTTCATAACTTACTCGCTTATGAAATCGTTATAAATTTGTGACCAGTCGGAGGGTTTTTTTAATTTCGGAGGAGGATCGTTGACGATTTGAAACAATGCACGAGTCGGATTGATTTCTTCGTAAGGTGCTTGTCCATCGCCCAATTCGATAGCCGTGATCCCTTACAAAAAAAAAAAAAAAAAAAAAAAATGAAAATAAAATAAAAGAGGCCTTGAAATAAAAAGGACTCGAGGAAAAATTTTGTTTAAAAATAAATTTTAAAAGTCGAACTCACCCAAAGACCAAACATCGATTTTAAAATCGTACCGTGGGATTTTCATGTTTTGATTTTCTATCATTTCCGGTGCCATCCAATTCGGCGAACCCACGTAATCGTTTAATTTCGTATCTTTATCCACGTGACAGGAAATACCGAAATCGATCAATTTGATTTTTCCCTCGGGTGTTATTAATATGTTACTTCCGCGTATGTCTCTGTGACAAATTTCATTCTCGTGCAAATGTATGACGCCCTTGAAAATAAATAAATTAAATATTTTTCGAACGTTTTTTTTCTAAATTGTTTGTTTGTTTGTTTGTTTTTTCGTGTCGTATGAGAATTAAAGTATTTTTATTTATTTTTTTAATTAGAAAGTAGGAAAAATTTAATCGTAGCAATAATTGTAAATTTAATAAGCAATGAATCGTAACGTAACCAAAGATATATATTATCGATTTTATTTTTAATGATTGATTAAACGTGATTTTTATTATTAAAAATTGTTATAAATAAATTATGTATTTTTTATATGAAATATTATTTTGTGCGTTTAATATATTTTTATGTAATTGAATTGAATGATAATAATAAAAAGTTTTGAGTGATAATATTATTAGTGATAAATAAATTTTTATTTTTTATTAATTTAATTACTCACTTTAATGGCTTCCTTTATAATGTGTGATATATACTGTTCGTTAACGTTTTTATAATTTTGTATTAATTTTCTAACGAAATCGATGGCCGTTTCGCCTTCGCAAAGCTGGAAAAAAAAGGTATTTTGAAATAACAATAATAATAATAATGAATATTTTATTTTAGGCAGAAAAATGAAATGTTTCATAATACCTCCATGACGAGCCAAATTTTTTTCGCATTTTCATTTTCTCTTTTCATATACATGCCGTGAAAATTTAAAAAGTTTTCATGATTGGATAAATTTTTATATACGTAATATTCGCGATAAATGCAATCCTCGTTATTTTTATTCAAATCGATTATTTTAATCGCGACTTTGCAACCTGCAACACAAGTAAATGTAACAATTTGCCTAATTAATTTTTTTGAAGGCGTTTACCATTGATCAATCGTTAAAAAAACGTCATTTGCCTGTTTCATTATCTTTTCCTTCGAAAACTTCTCCTCCGACTCCACCGCCAACTTTTAATATAAGCGTATACCTATCATCAAGTTCCGGAAGTTGATTTAAATCAATTTTTATATTTTCCTCCATTTCCATTATGTATATGAACGACTGTAAATAAAAAATATTTTTAGCGCTTTAAAAAAATTATTAAGCCCCCTCGAAAAGAAAAGAAAAAACATGATAGTTAGTTTATTATCTGTATAAAAAAGTTTAAAATAATTTTATTTGGGTGGTCTTTATCAAGGTAGGTATTAAAAGCAGACGATAATTGAAAAAGGTATAAAAAATGGAAAAGTAAAAACATTGTATATATTGTAAATTATAATTTTTTAACAAATAAATAAATATAACGTTAATACTCTATGGGTATCAATAAAAAAATTTTAAATTTATTTATTTTAAATTTCAGGTACTCACGTTTGAATAATTATTTGGAAAATTTTTTTTCGTCCTGGGCCGGTAAGTGTTAAAATTATTATTATTAACCTTTTAAAAATTAAATTTCAACTGAATCGTAAACGTATGACGGAATAGTTTTTAATAAATAATTTAAATAGATTACGAAACCTTAAAAGGATCTAAGGATTTAAATCCTTTTTTTTTTTTATGTCGACTTAAATAACTTTTCTTTTTTTTGCTTAATATCGATTTTTACTTGGCTAATTATTATTACGTCTTAATTTTTATATTTAAAATTATTTTTCAAAATGGCGGTACTCTTTTTTTTCTAAAAAAAATTTTAATAATAACAAAGAAGGGGGAGGGGTAGGGGAAAGGGGGAAAGAATGTCACCTTTTCAACTGACTAATGATATTTATCATTTTTAACAAAAAGAAAATAATACTAATAATGGTAATAATAATAATGATGATGATAAAAAAAGAAATTTTTTTTTTTTTTTTTTGTGAGTTTATTATCTCGAGGTGGTCAAATTGAATTTTTTTTTTTTTGACAAATTTTTGACGGCCATTATTCGCCATATTAATTCTTTTGTTATTAAATATGTGAACCTCCCGTGAGGGAAACCCGAAATTTGAAAAAAAAAAAAAAAACCTTCGATAATTCAAAATAGGATTCATTACGGTAATCCTTTCGTTAAAAAAAAAGTAATAATAATAATAATAATAAGCTCACTTGACATTTTGTTTAAAATCTTATCATTTTAACAATTTACGTTTTCAATTTTTTTTTTTTTTTTTTTTTAACGAATAGTCGTCCAAACGGTAACAACAACAATTTTCGGTTTATTTTTATCTCGTGTCTTTTAAAAAAAATTTTTTTTTGTTTTCGGAAAAAAATTACCGATCGATATACAAAAGTTGTGTATACAGTTTCAAAAGAATACAAAAAAAAAAAAAAAAAAAGGTATTAAAAAAAAAAATGGAGGGAAAATATAAAAGAGATACTTGATTGTTGCAGACCTCCCAAAATCTCCCGGGCATTATCGTAATATTGCTGTGGCAATTTCACACTCGACGCATTTACACAAAAAACTTGAAAACTTTGTAAAAAAAAAAAAGAGAGAGAGAGAGATGGGGGGAGAGGGGGGGGGAGAGAGAGAGAGAGAAAAGGAAAAATATTACGCTCTAGTTTGCGGTTGAATGCTTTCCAAGAGTACCAATCCTGTCATCCTACATGTTATTTCTAGGTAGTTACCATTATTATTCTCAAGAGGTTTTCTTTTTTTTAAATACAAATATCATCTTTTATTTCGAGGTAGTATTCCCATCATCATCATCATTATTATTATTATTATTTAGGTTCATTTAACTAAATACAAATACCTCCATTTACCTTCATTCACTTTATTATTAGTGAATTTTATTCTAAAAGTTTTTTTTTTTTTTTTCTTCTTATATCAATAGATTATTTCACTTTATTTTTTTATTTTTTTTTTTTGTATTTTTCACCGTTAGGTGTTTTCTCTCTCTCTCTCTCTCTCTCTCTCTCTCTCTCATTTTAATTTAGCAATTGTGATTTATTAAAATATTTATTTGATTTGAATGTAAATACGAAAATTGATTGCATACAAAAAAAAGACAGATGTCTAATTTTTCATTTTATTTTAAATAGTTTCGTTGATTAACACCGATTGTAATTTTGTTATTCTCTATTATTATTATTATGGTCACTCACTTAAACACGACTCTTAAGGCTCTTATTTGTCGGGGTTTTTAAGCATTTATCCCAGGTTTCTACCCGATTCCTTAGGGACAAATACTCGAATTTCGGTGGTGCTAAAATTTTCCGAAGAATGTGCGGCCGTCCCACATAGTGCGATTTCCTGGATGGTTTCTTCTTCTTTTAGGTTCTTTAAAATCTTCTTTAAATTTCCTTTCATTGCATGTGATGGCATGGCTCCCAGTGATGCTCCCACGATGACCGGAATCGTTTCTGTTTTTGTTCCCCACATCCTGGCTATTTCAATTTTATTATTATTATTATTATTATTTTAATTCAACGCGAGATTCCATACCCGATTCCTTACGAATAAATGTTTCGATATTAATTTTTTTCCTAGATTTTTCTAGAATATTCTCCAGTCGTATCCAGAATTTTCCAGTTTTCTCCAGATTTTCTCCAGACTTCTCCAGTTTTCTCCAGAATTTTTAGATTTCTCTAGCCTTCTCCAGGCTATTCTAATTCTCCAGTTTTCTCCAGATTTCTCCAGTATTCTCCAGAATTTTTTTCCAGACTTCTCCAGTCTTATCCAGAGAAACCTCCCTAATCTTCTACACAGCCTTTCTAAACTTTTTCAGCTTTTTTCTAAACTTTTCCAATTTTATTTTCATTTGCTTTTCCAGATTTTCTCGGGACTTTTTTTGTTATTATTATTATTATTTTTATATCCATGGAACGAATTGTATTTATAATAGATTTTAACCTCGCTCTCCGCCGATCTTTTGTCAAAACCGTTACCAATATACCCCGGGTTATTATTATTATTATTATTTTCCAATAGAAGAGTAGTAGTAGTTGTTTAGGTAAAAGAAAAATTTTAAAAGTGACGAGTGGTTGTTGTTGTTGTTTTCCATTCGAAGGTTTTCCACATTGGGAAAAATTTATTTAAAAAAAAATGTTTACGTTTTATCATTATTATTATTATATATATTCGTAACGATTATTATTTTGTTTCGTATCGATCGATAGGATTTGTTTCATTCATTTTCTTTACGTTTACCACATATTTAAAAGAAAAGAAAAAAATCGGATATAAAGAAAATTAAACAAAATCCGATAAATGCCATTTTGTGAAATTGTCAGATGGAAAGAATTCACGTCGAAACGTATAAATTTTAAAAAATTTTCCGCATGGCGTTCAGCAAGATGTGTAATTTTTTTTAAAAATCTGACTAATATCGAAAAACGACTATCAAAAGGTATCAATGTCAGTCAATTTATCCGACAAAACCTGGGAGTCGGAAAAAAATATTTTTTACAAAGGTTGAAAAAGGTTTCAAAAGAATCGATTACCGTATTTACCATTATAAAGTGGCGATGGTATCTCTTCTCTATTCGGCTTCTAATAAACCCCCTTATATACCTTTTTTTTCTTTTTCCTTTTCTTTTTTTTTCTTTTTTCTTTTATACCTTGTTTTGATAATGTACTTTTTTTTTTTTTATTAGTAATAATAATACTTTGATTATTATAAATTTGTTTATGCGTGCGCTACAAACGAATATTGCGCTTTTATTTTTTTTTTTCAATGAAAATTTTTGCATTTTCAATTTTCCTTTTTTTTAATACCATATAATTTAAGGATTTATCATTTTTATGGTCAATTTACTCAAGTTTCCTTTTTTCTCTTTTTTTTTTATATATATTTACACATTGCAAAAAAAAAAAAAAAATGTTAAAAATAATTTTTTAATGGTTTTCCGGTTCGAAAAGGTATGAAAAACCTTCATAAAATGTGGGAAATTTTTTTAGGCTCGTATGCTAAGCATTAAAATGTTTAAGGAAAATTTTTGTATTTAATTAAATGGCAAATGACGGATTTGATTTTTATTTTTTTTCGGGGGGAGGGGAGGGGGTTTGTCGTCGAGTGAAAATAATTTTTTTTTTTTTTTTTATAAATAAATTATAATACTGAAATTGAGTCGTGATAATAATAATAATAATAATTATACACAATAAATATTATTAAGAGAAAAATTAAATTTTACAAAAGTTGACAAATATTTAAAAAAAAAAAAAAAAAAACGCACACGCACACACGTGTACAGACACACGATGCGGGATGAGGAACTTGTTTGCGTGGAAATGTCATTTACGCCATTTTCCATCGCAAATTTTATTATTATTATTATTATTATTATTATTATTTGCAAACTGTTATCCAACCTTCCGTCGTGTAATTGTGACAAATAACTTCGCAACACCATTTAAACAAACATTGCCTTTCCGTTTTCCTTTCGCGAATTCTATTATAACCTCTTCCGCAACACATTGAACTACAACTATCCAAACCTTTACTCGTTTTATTACACTGCCTTCCTTTCGTACCCGGAAAATCCACGGAATTATCCCTTTCGCAAAAATTTGGAGATTTTTGATAGTAGAATAATTCGAAGGATAAATCGTTGGTTCTTTTTTTTTTCTTTTTCTTTTGTTTTTTCATCATCATCATCATCATCTTTGGTTTCGTGCGTATTTTTTGTTTTCTAGATTTTCCGAGTTGTAAAGTACCGCTACCCATGTTCGATTGATCGACCAATATGGCCGAACGAAATCTTTCTTTGAGTATTTCTCCCACGATTCGAAAATCCGGTGCGGATCTCCAACACGTTTTCAATTCGCAACTTCCCGAGTACCCGTGACATTTACATCTAATTTGTACGTTTGACGAAACGGCCTGAAAAATGAAAGAAAAAAATAAAATTTTTTAACTAAAAATACTTTTTTTTTTTACCAAAATCCGTTACGTAATACGAACGTAAAAAAAAAAAATAACGACATAAATCATTTTCTATGACGTATTCACTTTATATCAATAGATTTATATAAATTATTATTAATGACATTAATTTAAAAAGGCATAACCGAAAGGGGGGGGGGTTTCCCATTGTTACACGTTTTCTGGTTACATCATTGTTTACATTCACGTGACACATTATTATTATTATTAATTAATTGATGTATCACATTGTTGTAATTATTTAGTTAACGTCGTCACGAATGTTGTGACAATCAAGTCAACGACATCAATCTTAAAAAAAAAAAAAAAAAACCCTTACTCGTGTGTAAATCGGAGAGGTAGAGAGAGAGAGAGATGAATTTGTAGCGGGGTTTAATGGCAAATAAAAAAAATTTTTTTTACATACCTACAGGTGTTCACCATAGAAATCTCAATGATAAATGAGAGAGAGAGAGAGGTTTTGTTGTTGTTTTGTTTTTTTACATGATGATGATGATCAATTATTAAATATCCCGTTTGCCTCGAGCTTATTTTTATTATAATTATTAAACATCATGTTATTTTTTTTTCTCTCCTTATTGTCTTTCTCTCTCTTTCTCTCTCTCTCTCTCTCGTTATTATTATGTATTTGACACTTTTCAAAATATTTTGGTGTATTCCCCCCCTTCCCCCCGTCCGTCACGCGGTTCGTTTTATTGATTGCGGTAAATTATTATTGTGAATCAGAGTTTAAAAAGAAGGTTCAAAAGTTTAGGATAGTTGAGTCGTTATTATTATTATTATTATTACGTAACATTAATTAAAATTTTTCTTTTTTAAAAATAAATCTAGATTATTCATTAGTTGAAAGGGGAAATGGGGGAGGGGAGGGGTGAGGGGGAAAGGGTAAAAGAAAAATTTCTATGCATTTTTTTATAAAAAATTACAACATTAAAAATTTTTTTTTTTTTTATTATTATGTGACCGGACATAAAAACTGCATGTAATTTTTTAATGAGTAATTTTTTTTTTTTTTTTTGTTTAAAAGGCGACTAATTTTACGGGTCACGACCGTGACATAAAACTC